CTCTATAAGACTTGAAATGAATAGAGTGGTGTTTCAGTGAAACATTTTCGATTTCATGACTAGTTTTCCCGCAATGTGACAAGAAGGTTGATCAAACTTTTTCTTCGATATTAAACATTTAAAAAACAATTTTGGCTAATTCGAGCATTCCAATATCACATTTATATTGATATAATTTCAATATTTCTCTCTAAAAACACATGTACTATTTGAATATTTAATCACAAGTTTTGTATTTCATATTCTTATGATTAAGAATGTCAGAATCTGTAGGAATCGTCTTCTTAATTAACAAAATCGGTGAAGAATTAGTCAATTAATGAGATCAACATTGGTCGACTTTGACGCTCCCTGATGGAAAAACTACTCACGCTACTCAGGGACATCCCCTCTATTCATTTTTCCAATAGTCTCGGCTATCTCGAAAGACAAATTTGCATTATAGTGATTTGTTTCCTTTGAAATATTCGTGACAATTAACAACAAAACAGAACTGCCCAGCAGTTCGTAGAATGATATAAGTAAAGAAAGCACGTCTTGCGTACGGGTAGGCATTAGGGCAGTGCGAATTATTCGAAATGACGAATAATTTGAATTGAGTCGAATATTCGTGTTTTTTTTTTTGAAATTTTCTTTATTCTCCATCTCGTAACTAAGTAATAACTTTGTTCATAATAACAGTTTATAATCTACAGTCGATGAAATGAAAATTGATTATCGATCATTAATAAATTAAAAACAATAATTTAGCTACGAGAATGAAAATAAGGGAAATTTGAGAAAAACCAATAATTCGAAAAAACCGAATTTGATATTTTCGAATTTTTCGATAAAGCGAATATTCGATTTGATTCGAGTACTATTCGCACACCGCTAGCAGGCATGTATTAAAAATTGTAAAACGCTACTTTTTAAAGGCTATCGTGAGTTCTAATAAGTTGATTGCAATGTTATTAATTAAGGGTCTTTTAATCAGTGGCAACAGGCAGGCAAAAATAGTAGGAGGCTCAGTTTCGAAATGAATGAAAGAACGTTCAAATGAAATTTGTATAGATAATATTCTATTTCATAAATACTTTCTATAATCTATTTCTCATATACTTTTTACATATACATCTCTTTATATATAATCATTTATAAAACCACGTGTCCACCATGAACTTAACTAACTTGACCTGTTATAAAAAATAGCGTACACTCATTAAGC